GGAATAGCCATTCATATTTTAATATTATATTAATTTTGAGTATTTTTTTTTGAATGATACCAAAAAATATATTATAGGAGTGTTTAAATAAACACTATTGTGAAAATAATAAAAAACATTCTTGTAATATAGATTGAAATGAAAAAAATTCTTATCAATTAATTTTAATATAAATTTAAAGATAACGTTAAAAAATTATTATTGATAATTCCAAAAATAAATTCATTAAAATAATTTAGTGCTCAAGCCATTGCATGTGATAATTGATTCTTTGAAAGAAGCTAAAAATAAAGATTAGTTTTAGAAAGATACAAATTAAGTTATGGTGACAACTTGTAAATTTTTAAAAGCTTATTTATCAAAGTTGGAACCTATGCAAATTAACAAGGTACATTTCAAACTTCTTATTGAGCAAAATAAGACTTGATATTATCAAAAATAATTTTATATATTCAAAAAAAAAAGAAAATTATAAAATGAGAAATATAGTTGTTAGAGAAGATGATGTATTAAAAAACAAGTTTTTTTTTAATTACAATAGAGACTTTGTGGTTAGAATCTCGTGCAACATCTAATAAAGGTCTTATTTTCTTTTAACATTCTTTCTTTTTCTTTACAATAAATATTTTTTTAAAACCAAAAAATTACAAAATCCTTACCTTGTTAGATTTAGAAACTTGTCATAGATACATATCTATTGTAATTGTTATCTAGGTAATATGAATAGATAGAAGTAGATAAAAATAGATTAATTTCATAATACCTTCTAGAAAAGCTTTCTAGATTTTTTTTAGACATCGTTTTGACCTTATATGTATTTGTAGTTGATTGATAGGTTAAACACTTGATCAATAAGCTAACCATGTACCAAATATATTGGTAGCTTGTAAAACAAGCTAACTAAGTGGTGTCCATATTAAAAACTTGCCTTACAAGTTAAGATACATATTATGCAAAGGCAACACGTTTTTGGAGGTCTTATAGAATGTTGTCACATAGATCCTAGATAGATAGTATATATAGAGGCAAGAATGAAGCCTTCTTCACTCTTGTCAATTCTTTTTTTGCTTCTACTCTAATTTCAAGAGTCTCTAGTTTCCTTGTCTTTTGGCAATAGCCATTCTAATTTCTTTTTTAATATACATACTTCTCTATTTCTATTTTATCATATTTCTTTGAGACAATCTCACTTGTTTATTTGCTTTCATCAAGTTCTTGTGCTTGACAGATTGACAAGAATGCATTTACAATATATATATATATATATATATATTTTATTTTATTTAGTTGTTGTTGTTGTTGCTGTTGTTGTTGTTTTTTTTTTTTTTTTTTTTTTTTTTTTTAAATTAAGAGTAGAACATCCCTTTATTTTGATAAGACTTAAGTGTATTAGAAGTTTTGGATTACCTTCTTCTAAACTAATATTTTCTTTCTTTTTTTTTATTTTATTTTTAAGTCTTTTTTATTTTTTATTTTGAGCAATATTAAATATCTTTCTTTCTTTAAGAGTTATCATGGCAAAACTACTTGAAATAAAGAGTGTATTGGCATAAATTCAAGTTTAATTGAAAAAATTAATACTTGCAATGCATCAACTCAATTTATTGCCATATAGAGCAACAAGAATGGTAAGAAACAAAGATATAGAGATGATTAGAACTGCTTCATGAATTATACTAAATCATATTTTTTTTTTTTTATAATAGAATATCCTTTTAGTATTAAAAAACCAAAGATTGCAATATTCAAGAAGTTTGATAGTAGAAGATCTAAGTTTTGAGGATTTTTCAATCAAGTACAATTTGTGATTGAACTTCAATCCCAAAGCTATCCAATTCTAAAATTGTAAGTTAGATTCATTGCTATACTCCTTATAAGTTTATTATTATCATGGTTTTTATCTTTTCTTGAATGACAAGATCCAATAATGGATATCTAGAGGCTTTTTTGGGAGAATTTTGATCTATATATCAAGAACATGATGCAATTAATATTACAATCAATAAAATCCATATTTTGTAATAAAGCAATTAATCAATAATATTATATGCTTTAAAATTTTGATAACTTTCAATTAATATCAAGTAAAATGATATTTCACTTATAAGCCAATGTTTTTATGGATTATAATATGAGGTAAAAAAATTGATGTTCAACTTACTTGATCTTCAAACATTGAGTTCAACAATCGACTTTATTATGAAGTGTAACAATTCACTTTTTGAATTTTAATTTGAAAGTCACACAAGTGCACCTCAACATGATTATAACTCAATGACAATGTTAACATCTTTTCAACACACACATTTGGAAGTTGAAGATATACAAATTATTATGATATGTTTTAAATCTCTTACTAAGCAAAAAAAGACTCATCGTCATCAAGAAGGATTGTGCTTATATTATGGAGAACCTAAGCGTACTACTCAACAGTGTCCAAAGAAGCGATGCAATTACAAAATGAAAAGTACAGCCACCAAAGAAGATAATATGTTGAAAAAAAAAAATTGTCTAACTACAGTAGGGACCATGTGGCTAGAACCTTGTATAACACCTAGTGAAGGTCGTATTTTCTCCTTAAAGTCGTTTCTTTGTTTTACAATAAATGTTATTTTAGGACCTCAACATCCCAAAGCCTTTACTTAGTTAGATTCAAAAGCCTCAGCCAATATGAAGATTTTCATGATGTATTTAATAAGAAGAATGCAGATACACTATCAAAACATTACTTCTATGACTGCTCAATTGACCTTCAAGAAGAAACTGAATTGCCATTTGGACCAATTTATAGATTATCACAAAATGAATTAGTTAAATTCAAGGAGTAGGTTGAAGAAAATTTAATCAAAAACTTCATATTTCATTCCAAATCTATTGTAAGAGCTCTAATTTTATTTGTGAAGAAAAATGATGGATCATTGCAAATATATGTCGATAGATAAAAATCAAAATAAAGTTTCTTATATTCACTCTCTTTAAATTAATTTATTGACCATTCTAACACACATCAAGACTTATGAATACAAAATATGTTTTAAATAATTTTTATATATTATAAGCATTTATAATATGATAACATATTAATAGCTTATAAAATAAGCTAATTATATGGAGCACATACAAACAACTTATCTTGCAAGTTAAATCATGTGTCTAACAAAGTCAATACATGTTGGAGATCCTATAGAATATTGTCATGTAGCTCTTAGTCTAAGATTATATATGAAGGCAAAAGTGAAGCCTTCTTCATTCTTATCAATGACTTTTATGTTCTTAGTCTTGTTTCAAGACTTTCTAATCTTCTTATCTTTGAAAATAGCGATTCTAGTTGAATATATTACCATCTTTGAGTGATACAAGAATGAATTGAGATTTTTTTTCTTTGAGATTCATGTCCTTGACATAAAAAACATAATTATAATAGAAAAAACAAAAGTAAGAGAATTAATATACCAACTTGATAAGGAAATAGCAATTTGACAAGAAAAATTACAACGTGACAATCAACACACCATCTTAACATCAAAAATAACAACATTACTTCAACTTGGATATCATTAATTTTATAGTAAATCAAGACACGACCTTCTTTATGAAAAAAAATAGAAATATCTTTCTAATGAAAAAAACACAATGGCTAGATAAAAAAATCAATATACCTCCTTGATACTAAAAACATCACCATTCTTAAATTTTTACTTAAATAACTAAAGAATTTTAAATAAATTTTATATAAATCTAAAAAATCTTTTGTAATATTTTTATAATGCTAATATCAAATCAAAGTTATTTTTTTCTTCATTGGTGATATTTTGTAGTAATAAAATCAATTTAAATTGACTAAAAATCTTATTTTCTACATAAATAATTAAAAAGATATGATGTTCTTTTTTATGCTTCTCCTAACTATTAACTAACATTTATAGGTTTTTAATAAATAACATATATAAATATAAGGCCAATATAGACATTAGTTTCAAGAAATAAATAATAATATTCAACAATAAAAAAAATACTAAATCAATTAAGATAATTACTTCTTAGACTTATTAAGACTTTATTTTAATGATTTTTTCATTAAATAATTATTATAACTTATAAATCCTTCTAAATTCTAAAAAATATTTTAAAAAATAATAATAATAATTCTAATATTTTTTATTTAAATAAATTAAATATATACTTTTAATAATTCTACTAATTAAGATGCATTGGTTGAACTTACAACAAGTAAGATTAAATAAAGTGGTAAGGATTTATATTACATGGTTAAGATATCATCTAGCCTATAATAAAAGAGATCCAAACTACTCCATTAAAAGACTATATTATATTTTATACTTTTAAATTTTCTATTAATGCATCCATAATTGGTTAGATGAATATAAACTACTTAAAACTAAGGACTACTTGAATGTCCTAAATAAACCTTGAATATTGAGATTTTAATTACTTTTATGGACTAAACTTATACAATTAATATCAATTACATGTGATTTGAAAAGAAACCATTTGAAAAGAAACCAACTAATAGGCCATTATAAGTGCTCATATAAAGCAAATAAAATTTGTAAGTTAGAATAGTTCATGAAGTGTTATGATAAGTGATGTAAACATTAAAAATGTAGTCTAACCTATCTTTGTATTATCAAGTCTCAATTTGATGTGCAATATTAGTTGCATGATGAAAATATGTTAATGGTAATCTGTTGATAAAAATTACTTAGTATTTAAATTTATTAATATTATCACTTATTTTATTATCCATGAAAAATTATAGATTACTCTAAATATGTTAAAACAATTTAAAAAAATGGACAAAGACATTTTAAATAAGTGTTATTTAATATTTTAGATTTTGATACTGTGAGAATAACTTTCACAAGCAAGGGGCTTGCAAAACGTTTCATTCAAGAGCATTTACTACCTCATGAGTGGATGAGTGATAGTGGGGCTTATTAGCACTGAGCGATCCATCGCGTCATGAGCAGCGCCGGCGTGCAGAAGGGCATCATTCAAGCCCCTCTCTGACGGGACAGGCTCACCGGATCGTGGATTGTCGGCGCACGAGGTGGCGCTCAATGTCATGTCCGATTGTGACCCGCCGTGATGGGCACTCGCGGACAGGAATTTTCACATCCTGCCCCTTCTCCCGCAGCCGAAAATATGAGACAAGTGTGCTCTACATTGGGGAGCTTATTGGCTTGTGCTGCGTTTGGAGTTTGTCTTGTTTTGCACGTTTTGTGAGAATCGGAATTTGGTGTTGAGAGCGTAACAGAGAGGAAATTCACGCTGCGGTTGCTGAAAAAGACTTGCGGCGGAGGAACTAAGAGTATGAACACTCGGCTACTGTACTCTCTGCGTCTACTTGAACTGCTTGCTTCACCTGCATGAGAAGGTTTTGATTCCAGTCCCCTAAGATAGTTTGCTTTATCAAACCAGGGTTTCTGAGTTGCGTGCAGGGCTGTTGTCATCTCGTGGCAGCCATGCTTTGGGACGAGTCCGATTCCGACGGTGATGACCACAGCGACTCCGATAGCGAAGATACGGAGTTGTATGAGGAAATTGTATGGGAAGGACTTCGAAACAAGACGATTGTTGTGAAGAATGGTGACAACACGTACAGGTGCCCGCTTTCTCCTGGCAGGAAAAAACAGAGCTACAAGTACCGGGAACTCCTCGCTCATGCCACAGGCGTAGCGACAGGCAAGAAAGGGCCGGTGAAAGCTGGCGGTCATCGAGCTGTAATGAAATACCTGCTCGCAGAATTGGGTGATAGGCCAATGATTCCACAAGCAGAAAGAATCTTGTACCTGGATCAAGTTGTTCCGAAACGAAAGGGCAGGGCAACTAGACTCCTTGCTCCGTGGATGGGAATTCTTGTCAACATTGACAACAGCAGAACCAACGAGAATGGGTTTAGACTAGCACCTGGGCCAGCCGAAATCAAGGAAAAATTCAAGGTGGCGAACGCAATCCAACCGAGCTTGTGTGTTTGAGGGGTTTTGTTGGTTTCCGTTATCTGGGGCACAATTAACTTTCACCTGTTCTGGGAATGTCGTGTGGTAAATCGGGTTAGGAGTACAAGCCCGAGAGGGTGGATGTCTTTCATGACTTCCGGGGGCACCAGGGGACGGCGCTTCTGACGTTCCGGAGCGACATTCGTGGTCTGGAGGATGCCCAAGCATTTGAACACAGCTTCGCTGCCACTAATCGTGGACGAAAAGCGTGGTGGGAAGAAGCGCGCTCCGCGAATCGGGATTTGTATGGTTGGCAAGCAGCTGAAAAGGTGAGGATTATTCTTGATTCCAGGTTTGATTATTAGGCTCAAGCCATCATAAAGAATTCAACGAATAAATGAATTAGTAAAGTGCAGTATGGGAACCACCAGGTTCGATTGCTGATCGCTGGGCGGGATGTGCACGGTCCTTGCGCAGGATTTGGAATCCAATTTGGGTCGCTTGGCGAAGCATATCAAGAATTACTGCGACGTGAAGACTGTCAAAGATATGGTACAAGAAAATGAGAGATTGAACAAGCAGATTGTCGAGGATTTGGTGAAGATCGTCGACAAAAAGAACGATATGGTGGCAGCTTCGCACACCCAGTTCGTGACGCTGCAGAATATGGTAGCTGACGTCGAAGCTTTGCGTTTGAAGGCCGAGGAGGAGAAGAGGAACATGGAAGCACAGCACAAACGAGGTAGTTGGCAATCAATTTGTGTTATATCTCAGATTAGTCTGCATATTACTTCAAGAACGGAATGATCGTCCTGAGATTTACTGCAGATCTGGAAGAAATGATCTTAAAAGCGCATAAAAAGGAAGCAGCCCACAATGAGATAGTCATGTCACGCCAAGTGGCGCTCACAAACAAGTTGCGGACGCTTGAGAGCCGCTGCGAGCAGATGAGAGATACCGAGACGAAACTGAGGCTCAGCAAAGAAGCTGTGCAACTTCAATTCGAGAAGGAAATGGAAAATGTAAAATCGCATCTATCCTTGACGGTTTGATGGTAACAGCGGTTAGAGGATTAAAAACATCTAACCGAAGTTGCATTGTCTTCACAGTCAGGATAGGATTAACAGTGAACTTTGGCTCTGCAAGCTGGTCTTTAAATCATGAAGATTCATTCGGCAGGCACAAAGACTGCTAAAGGAGGCCAGCAAGAAGGCGGAATTGCATGCAGCAATGCGGTGCAAGCAAACGGTGGAACAGAAAGAGCTAATCCAAAAACACGAGGTTTTCTATCCTAGATCCGATTAAGTTTCCATTGTTAAGTGCTCAGCCAGCTCACTGTGCCAAGGAGACATACATGAGAACGAGGCGTAAACTGTTGAAGCTGTGGCTCATGTAGGGCGAGAACATGGAGCTGGAGCTTGCCGTTCAGAAGAAGAAAATGGAGCTGATGCAGAAGCAACTGCTTGAGCTGGAGAAGCATCAAGTCAAGGGATTGCTGGAAATGGAAAAATCGGAAGAATCGAACAAGGACAAGATTGCCGAGCTTGAAGCTGAGCTGGAGATGAATCAAGTCATGGTCAATGCGCTGTCCACGAAAGAGCGAACAGCGAATGAAGAACTCGAGGAGGCAAGAAAAGTCGCCCTGGACGTGAGTTTCTCTTAGTTCAGAATCGGACTCCTCTTCTGGCGTGAATGACGTATCAGCCTTTCGTATCTCTAACCCTAAATTCACTCACCAGTTGTTGAAAACGTATGGAGACGAGAATACTGTCGGCATCAAGTACGCGGGATCAATCAAAAAAGCACCATGGATTGCTGCTTGCAAGAAGAAAAACCATCCTGACGGTTATCAAGTGGCGGCGTCAAAAATGATATCTGAATGGGAACAACGGTTGAAGGATCCGAAGTATCACCCATTTACGACGGTGGACGTTGGAGGGGACAACTGGAAGGTGAGGTTGCAAGTTCCGGATGAGTAATTTTATGCTCGAGTTGAACGCCTAAGCATGTTAAATTGCATTGTTTTGAATGGTCTGAGAAGGGGAAGTTGAAAACGATTGGCGGCGGCTTTCGAACTGTGCAGCGAGTCATAAATAAGAATGATGAATTCCTGAAGGAGCTGAAAATGAAATTGGGGATGGAGGTTTTGCAAACCGTGACAACTGCAGTCATGGAGATGGAGGAATACAACGCTAGTGGTCGGTTTGTGGTGGAGGTAGCTTGGGACTTTCGTAAGAACCAGCGAGTGTTACTGAAAGATGTTCTACTTCACTTCAAGGAATTACTTGAATCTAAAAGATGGAAGTTTGGTGCAAAGAAGAAGCGCGTCGCAGAATACTGATGGAAGAGCTGCTTTTGTATAAATGTTTGAATGCTGCAGTAGCCTGCTCTTGAACAATGCAAGACTCAAAGCTATACATCAGTAGTGCCTCGCCAGAGAGTCTCGAAGCTCAATATATGCTTGGTTTAATTTGATAGCGGATTAAGGACTTGGTAATCGTTAAAGACTAACAACAAGTATTTTCTCATAGATCGTGTATATTGTACATAGATGCGCAAGTTGCATTTAGATGGTTAATGAAGTATCAGGATTCTATGAGGATCCGTCTTCGAAAAGGGCTGCCATCCTCATGGGATGTACCCTTCGACCTCTACAGACTAGATTTTGTTCTGTGGAAACAATTGTCATATTGTGACTGCGTTGCAACCAACTGAGCAGGACAGAAAAGCTTTTCACATTTCCTTCTTTCTGTATTATCCTGCAATGGGGATACTTTACTAGCTATGCTTAATGAATGACGTGTTTTTATAGAAAATTGGCTTCATGTGATACATTTTTATTTTAATATTCATGACCTATTTTATTTTATTTTTGTCTGTTTGTTGTGCTAGTCAATTAAATTTTTTTTTATTCAATTTTATATTGTTTAAAATGTTAGATTTTACAAAGTTAATTTGTAGACATGATATGGTTGCTTAAAAGTGTTAAACATTTTTATTGCTGTTATCTTAGATGCCTGGATCATTGAAAATTTTATGGAAGTTAATCAAAATTTTAATATCTAACGATTTTATATATATAAATTATTATAGTGCAAGGTAGCCAATATATCATTTGTATATGAATTTTATAACTTTGTTTGAATGATAGACAATAATTTTATGTTTTAGTAGAATTTCTACAATATTTAGCTTTTGCAAAGAATACAAAGTAGCAATTTGCAAAAAATAAAAACATATATTTATGTTGTCTCTGAAATTCCATTTTCAGTATAAGATGTGCATATTTTGTATCACAACTAATTTTAAAATTTTTTAAATCTATAATTTAAGAATATTCATTTCTCTAATAATGTAGATTAAACAATATGAAGCACATTGCTACAATGCTTAGTCAAAAAGGTACATTTGATAAAGATATTGAAAAAATTGTACTACCTCTACAAGATTTGAAAGACCTAATATTTCTTAGCATGCAATCAATGATTTCTATTAAATGTATTGTTTCATATTTTTATTTCCTAATAAGTAATTGAAATTTGTCTTTTATTTTGTGTATAATTGTTGTGTAATATGAATCCTAGTTTAAAAATATGTCAAGTATTTAGTTGTAGAAGAGTTTTATTTAATCTTTTAAATTCTTCTTATAATCCAAAAAATAAATGTGGTATATAAAAACACTTGTCTTGACTATCTTAATCTTATTAGAAATCCTAGACTCAATCAATTTTAAACCCTATCAACTCTAGATTTCAGATCCAAACAATCATAAACTACCCAAATAAAATCCTCAACAAGTTTCAATAAAATCCTAAAAAAACCTAAAATAAATGCCAAAAAATCCTAAATACATTCTAAAAAATCTAGAAAAGCCTATAAAATTCTAATCAACTCTTAAATAATTTCAAATTAAATTCCAAAATAAATCCTAAAATATTATTAAAATATTCTTGAAAGAATCATATTAAATCCTAAAAAAATCCAAACCAATTCTTAAATAAATATTAGCTTTAAGATTATATTATTATTTATTGTTGATTTTATTTAAAATTTTTCTATGATTTTTATTTTCTAGTTAAGAACAAGATTAATTTTTTTTTAAAAAAAACTAATATATAGAGTGTGAAGAACAGGAAGTCAAAAGATATAATTAAATAAACAAAACATATTTCAATGAGAAATGACAAATATATATATATATATATATATATATATTCAAGATAAAATTGGAACGGCTATTATTAAAGATAAAAAAAAACCAAAGATTCTTAAAATTAGATTAGAAGCAAGAAAGGCATTCACAAGATTTTAAAAAAGTCTCACTCTTATCTCTATATATACTATCTATCTAAAGAGCTATGTTCTAAAGACTACATGACACATGTCTAACTTACAAGGCAATTTTTTGACATGTATGCCATGTAACCAACTTATAATACAAGAAAGAGAAATAAACAATATGTGGCTAACTTCTTGGCTAAATTTTTAATCTACCAATTACCTATAAACACTTATAAAATTTACAAGGCTTTTAAAAGCTTTGCAATAAGATATTAGCAATTAAATCTATTTTACTTATTTCTACCTAATTTTGATTATCTAATTAAATAAATCTTTACTTAAAGATATTTGTGAGATTATCTCACTTTTTAGTCAAAAAGTTTCACAAGAAATTGTGAAATTACTCAATAAATTAATAAAATCTAAAATCCATTATATAGTATTCGTAATAAGCTATATTCTTTATTTTGTACAAAGGTGGTTTATAAGTCCTTTCAACCATTAATAATGTCTTATAATAAAGTAAGAAGTTCATCTAATTATTTTATTATTATTGAGGCTTTCATTGTTACTTTTAAACAACATAGTTTACATTCCATCAAATATAGTATCCAAATTTAACAATATCACTAAATATTGGGAGTGTCTTCTAAGATTTTGGTATCAAACATGTTGTAGCTTGCCATCTATTCAAGAAAAAAACATGTCTTTCTATGAGATCTTCATCATAATAGTAATGTCATCCAAGTTGAGATAATCTAAGTACTCTATCTAGTAGTTTTCTAAATGATAATTGAGATAAATCTATAAGTTGTGAATTTTCTATACTTGTATAGAAGTTCTACAAGTTCATTCTTATAGATACTAATTTAATGATTAAAATAGTATCATTAAAATAAAAATCTTAAATTTTATTAGTTCTCATAAAGATATTGCAAATCTAATATATATATATATATATATATATATATACATCTAATATTTGTAAAATCCTTCTATATTTTTCTATATATATATGTATGTTTTTTGTGGATGCCCATTTTTGTGCCTAAACATCTAATTTTGATCCTATTTTGAAAAATATCCTCTTTGCATATTAATTTAACCTTTTTTTTACTGATCTTTGCTAAAAATAATTCTTAACTTAGACATGTATCTTGCATGAGCATCTCGAACCGCATGGACCGAAAGATGTGGATCGTATGCTGGAATCAATCTGAACTTGTACTTTCATGGATTAAACGGTATGACAGTTAATCACAATCACCGACGCAATTCCCTTAGAGGAGATCGAAACGGAGCAACGTGATCAGGACAGGATTTCTTTACTCCGTGCGACAGACCCTTGCCGCAGGATAGATTCGCCCTGGGCGGCAGAAAGTGTTCTTCTCTGGTGCACAATGCTCGTCCGTCTGGCATCTACAGAGCCCCTCCATGGCACAGAATGGAGCATACGTTGCTTCTCCTGGCGCGCCGGTCTTGTTTATTCCTAGAACAGTATCGGACCATTCGCTGGAGAAGAAGCCTTGAGGATCGAAACGGTTCTTTGTATCAAGGAACTTGGTCAGGTTCGCATATTCCTCTCCAGCACCCTCAAAGACGTAGTTGCGGTTCTTTCCCCAATGCGGCCATGCGCCGTATTTGTCGAACACAAGCTGCTCAAGTTCCTGAAATATGTCCATGTCCAGCCTTGGTGTTGTTGCATCGTTGCCACGGGACCACGTAAAGTCAAGCATGGCTACATCCTCCTGGCCAGAGCCAAGATAGGCATCAGTCTTACGGACGAATCGAATCAATATCCCAGTGTACAGATCAAGATCGCAGAGGCTCAATGGAACTGTTGCTTGCAGATCTCTGATGTCGCGGAGAAAAGACTTCAAGTTTCGTAGTGGAAGCGCAGCGGATGATTCAAAGAAGACGCTGCCTCCTGATCGCAGGTCCCATGGGCAGTAGAAGCCCGGCAAATCACTCCTTTGACATCCGCCAGCAGCCTGAATGAGGATTTGTCTACCAATGACTGGGAAGCCAGAAAATATCAAGCCGTTCTTCTTGTACCCATAGCCGATTGCTTGCTCTGCAGTTACAAGTGTGAACGCAAGATCGCACTTGAGCTGCCGGTTTCGGGCTGATTCGGCTGCTTCCTCTGCTCGACATCGAACATCAATTCAGACAAGTCCACTATTTCCTAAATTTGTAACTACGTTGGAACTTATCAGCATTTTCACCACACACTGCAGACACATTAAGCTTTAAACTTCTAATTTTAACTCGTACGTTTACTTCAGAAGGCCGCTTACCAGCAACTCTTGTGCTCGCTATCACAGCCTGTGGTATGGGCTGAAATCCAATGAAGTTGTTGATGCCTTCTCCTGGAGCGACTAGTGAGGCGCGGTAGTCGTATCTGTAAACAACTTGACCCAGCGAGGGGTACCATATGACATCTCCAAACTCCACTTCTTTAGCAATCCGAAGTGTTTCGTCCTCAGACCCAACGTCGCCTTTCACAATTCGTAGTGTCAGATTTCTTTTGAACATGGGTTGAAGCTGTAATGTGACAGTGGAAATGACACCAAGCACTCCTAGGGACACCTTGGCAGCGTTTAGATCTGGATCCTGACTACCCAGAACTCGGACAGTAGCATATCCTTCAGCTGGACTCGCAGGTGTGACGACGCGCATACCAATCACATACTCGTGGACTGCACCGCCTTTGCCAAAGAGCGAACTCCCGTGTGCACCAGTACTAAGTAATCCAGCCAATGTTACACCATCCCAGTACGGCGCAACGGGAAGTGCAAGGCCCCGGGTGGAAATTTGGTCCACCAGTGTCCGCAACTGAATCCCACCTTGTGCTGTTACTGTGCCACTCTCTGTGTCAATATTCACAATGGAAGTGTAATTTTTGGAACTTAAGATCACGCCTGACGATGTTCCTGGACAAGCAATTTTCGTTATGCTGTGTCCATACCTGGTGGATACTTTTATCTTTTGGTTGCCTCTCACGGCAGCAGCAACGGCACTGAGAATCTCTTGCTCGGTTGAGGGGTAAACCACAGATTCTGCCTGATTGAAAAATCACTCGAGCGTGTCAAAAGTACACTGCAAAGATTCATTGATGGGATTTCATTCCCAGATTTCTAAAGCTTGTAAATTTCTCATGCAAAGTGTGTATCGATTCTCATTGAAGTATACTTTGTCTCCCTGGCAAAAAGTATTAGTTAGAAGTTTAATCTAAATATATTAGATAATATCTTATGGAAAAGCTTCTTAGGAACCTTATAAATACAAATTTAACTTAAGATATATTTATAGTTGATTACTAGGTTAAAAACTTAGCCAATAAATTAATCACATGTCGTATATTATTGTGTAATAACACAAATATATGGTAAAAGATAAAAATATGAATTTTATTATAGTAAAGCTTATTAGAAAGATATAATAGCAAAATATAGATAAATAATAAGAAGATAGTAAAATTTTTTAATATTAATATTATCTTTCTATAAAAAAGACTTCTATTTATTTTATAAGGCTATAAATAAAGTAAAAGTAAGTATATTAAGAAATTAAATCATATAAATATCTTTAAAAAAGAATTAAGAATAGATATTAGCAAAAATTATGTCAAAATATCAAGAATTGATACTTAGAGAGGATTGATTGTGAATTAGAATCAAAATCAGACCTCGAGGCACAAAATTGTGCACCTACAACAATTTTAGAATTCTTTGGTTGATCAAAGCACAAAGTTTGAAATCAAACCACTGAATTTTTTTTGAGGATTTGGTTTCATTTAATTTGGAGGTATATTGAATTTTAAGGCTTTTAAAAGTAAAAGATGTACTTAGTGGATTTAGATTTTAAAAAATATATATTTTTTATATTTTTAAATATTATTTGAATTTTCTAGCACATTTATAAGTTAAAATTTGTAAGTATACTATTATAATTGTCTTAAATATGTTTAAATTGTTTTAAATGGATCAAATAGTTATGTTGAAAGATATGAGAGTTTTATTGGATTAGGATCTTAGATATTTGAAGTTTAGGATTAATGAAGATTTTACAATCTAGCAAAATCTACTTATTTGATTGAAGTAAGAATCAATGAAAGTAATTGAAATTTATAAACCTGTATACTAGCTAAAATTTGAAGTAATTGAAGTAATTGAATAAGAAAAAATAATTGCTAAAAGATCAGCATCTAGATTGTAGAAGGAAGGCAGCTAATATACAAGAGGTTTAGAAGTTTTTTCTTTCAATTGGTGAGTTCAATTTTCCTTAAATTTTGTATGCTTATTAATTACTTGTAAATTGAAATATAGATAAAAATTTAATTGAAATAAATGGTTTAATTAATATTTATTGAAATTTTAAAATAATTATAAGAATTAATTATGATTTATTTAAGATTTTTTTGGATTTATTTAAGATTTTTTCAAGAATTGATTTGGATTTAGAATTTGATTAAGGTTTGGTTAGGATTTTTTTAGGATTTGATTTAGGATTTAGAATTTGATCAAGTTTTTATTAGGATTTAGTTTAAGATTTGAGATTTTCTTAGAATTTAATTGAAATTGATTTAGAATTTACTTAAGATTTGTGAAAGTTTTATTAAGATTTAATTAAAATTGATAAATATTTTATTAAGATTTATTTAGAATTATTAGAATTTTATTATGATTTATTTAGGGCTACATTACGATTTGATTAGGATTTATCTAGAATTGATTTAGGATCTATTTAAGATTTCTATTCTTATTAATTTTTAAAGATTATTTAATTTAATTTTAATTTATTTAATATTTATTTGATATTAATATAGTATTTATTTAAATATTAATTTATAATATATATATATATATATATATATATATGTTTTTTTAGTAATTGTTTTAAAACTTCTTTTGAATTGATTAAAGTTTGATTATATTTATGAAAGTTTAATTAGAATTTATTTAAGATTCTATTAGACTTCTTAGGATCTTATTCTTACATTTATTTATTTATTTTTTACAATTAGGTGCACAGTACAATGTCAAGCTAGAATTTATGTTATATAACAATGTACTGGTAGCTTGTGATAGAAACTAATTATATGGAGTACATGTAGGAAACTTGTCTTTCAAGTTAAAGACATGTCTTCTAAATTAGACATGTATCAAATATCCTATTAAATGTCACTAAAGAACTCCTAAATATTCAATATATATGGAGGTAAGATCAAAGTTTTTTTTACTCTTATCAATGCCTTTCTAATATTTAGTCTTATTTTAAGAGTCTCTAGTCTTCTTATCTTTAGGAATAGCCATTCATATTTTAATATTATATTAATTTTGAGTATTTTTTTTTGAATGATACCAAAAAATATATTATAGGAGTGTTTAAATAAACACTATTGTGAAAATAATAAAAAACATTCTTGTAATATAGATTGAAATGAAAAAAATTCTTATCAATTAATTTTAATATAAATTTAAAGATAACGTTAAAAAATTATTATTGATAATTCCAAAAATAAATTCATTAAAATAATTTAGTGCTCAAGCCATTGCATGTGATAATTGATTCTTTGAAAGAAGCTAAAAATAAAGATTAGTTTTAGAAAGATACAAATTAAGTTATGGTGACAACTTGTAAATTTTTAAAAGCTTATTTATCAAAGTTGGAACCTATGCAAATTAACAAGGTACATTTCAAACTTCTTATTGAGCAAAATAAGACTTGATATTATCAAAAATAATTTTATATATTCAAAAAAAAAAGAAAATTATAAAATGAGAAATATAGTTGTTAGAGAAGATGATGTATTAAAAAACAAGTTTTTTTTTAATTACAATAGAGACTTTGTGGTTAGAATCTCGTGCAACATCTAATAAAGGTCTTATTTTCTTTTAACATTCTTTCTTTTTCTTTACAATAAATATTTTTTTAAAACCAAAAAATTACAAAATCCTTACCTTGTTAGATTTAGAAACTTGTCATAGATACATATCTATTGTAATTGTTATCTAGGTAATATGAATAGATAGAAGTAGATAAAAATAGATTGATTTCATAATACCTTCTAGAAAAGCTTTCTAGATTTTTTTTAGACATCGCTTTGACCTTATATGTATTTGTAGTTGATTGATAGGTTAAACACTTGATCAATAAGCTAACCATGTACCAAATATATTGGTAGCTTGTAAAACAAGCTAACTAAGTGGTGTCCATATTAAAAACTTGCCTTACAAGTTAAGATACATATTATGCAAAGGCAACACGTTTTTGGAGGTCTTATAGAATGTTGTCACATAGATCCTAGATAGATAGTATATATAGAGGCAAGAATGAAGCCTTCTTCACTCTTGTCAATTCTTTTTTTGCTTCTACTCTAATTTCAAGAGTCTCTAGTTTCCTTGTCTTTTGGCAATAGCCATTCTAATTTCTTTTTTAATATACATACTTCTCTATTTCTATTTTATCATATTTCTTTGAGACAATCTCACTTGTTTATTTGCTTTCATCAAGTTCTTGTGCTTGACAGATTGACAAGAATGCATTTACAATATATATATATATATATATATATTTTATTTTATTTAGTTGTTGTTGTTGTTGCCGTTGTTGTTGTTTTTTTTTTTTTTTTTTTTTTTTTTTTTAAATTAAGAGTAGAACATCCCTTTATTTTGATAAGACTTAAGTGTATTAGAAGTTTTGGATTACCTTCTTCTAAACTAATATTTTCTTTCTTTTTTTTTATTTTATTTTTAAGTCTTTTTTATTTTTTATTTTGAGCAATATTAAATATCTTTCTTTCTTTAAGAGTTATCATGGCAAAACTACTTGAAATAAAGAGTGTATTGGCATAAATTCAAGTTTAATTGAAAAAATTAATACTTGCAATGCATCAACTCAATTTATTGCCATATAGAGCAACAAGAATGGTAAGAAACAAAGATATAGAGATGATTAGAACTGCTTCATGAATTATACTAAATCATATTTTTTTTTTTTTATAATAGAATATCCTTTTAGTATTAAAAAACCAAAGATTGCAATATTCAAGAAGTTTGATAGTAGAAGATCTAAGTTTTGAGGATTTTTCAATCAAGTACAATTTGTGATTGAACTTCAATCCCAAAGCTATCCAATTCTAAAATTGTAAGTTAGATTCATTGCTATACTCCTTATAAGTTTATTATTATCATGGTTTTTATCTTTTCTTGAATGACAAGATCCAATAATGGATATCTAGAGGCTTTTTTGGGAGAATTTTGATCTATATATCAAGAACATGATGCAATTAATATTACAATCAATAAAATCCATATTTTGTAATAAAGCAATTAATCAATAATATTATATGCTTTAAAATTTTGATAACTTTCAATTAATATCAAGTAAAATGATATTTCACTTATAAGCCAATGTTTTTATGGATTATAATATGAGGTAAAAAAATTGATGTTCAACTTACTTGATCTTCAAACATTGAGTTCAACAATCGACTTTATTATGAAGTGTAACAATTCACTTTTTGAATTTTAATTTGAAAGTCACACAAGTGCACCTCAACATGATTATAACTCAATGACAATGTTAACATCTTTTCAACACACACATTTGGAAGTTGAAGATATACAAATTATTATGATATGTTTTAAATCTCTTACTAAGCAAAAAAAGACTCATCGTCATCAAGAAGGATTGTGCTTATATTATGGAGAACCTAAGCGTACTACTCAACAGTGTCCAAAGAAGCGATGCAATTACAAAATGAAAAGTACAGCCACCAAAGAAGATAATATGTTGAAAAAAAAAAATTGTCTAACTACAGTAGGGACCATGTGGCTAGAACCTTGTATAACACCTAGTGAAGGTCGTATTTTCTCCTTAAAGTCGTTTCTTTGTTTTACAATAAATGTTATTTTAGGACCTCAACATCCCAAAGCCTTTACTTAGTTAGATTCAAAAGCCTCAGCCAATATGAAGATTTTTATGATGTATTTAATAAGAAGAATGCAGATACACTATCAAAACATTACTTCTATGACTGCTCAATTGACCTTCAAGAAGAAACTGAATTGCCATTTGGACCAATTTATAGATTATCACAAAATGAATTAGTTAAATTCAAGGAGTAGGTTGAAGAAAATTTAATCAAAAACTTCATATTTCATTCCAAATCTATTGTAAGAGCTCTAATTTTATTTGTGAAGAAAAATGATGGATCATTGCAAATATATGTCGATAGATAAAAATCAAAATAAAGTTTCTTATATTCACTCTCTTTAAATTAATTTATTGACCATTCTAACACACATCAAGACTTATGAATACAAAATATGTTTTAAATAATTTTTATATATTATAAGCATTTATAATATGATAACATATTAATAGCTTATAAAATAAGCTAATTATATGGAGCACATACAAACAACTTATCTTGCAAGTTAAATCATGTGTCTAACAAAGTCAATACATGTTGGAGATCCTATAGAATATTGTCATGTAGCTCTTAGTCTAAGATTATATATGAAGGCAAAAGTGAAGCCTTCTTCATTCTTATCAATGACTTTTATGTTCTTAGTCTTGTTTCAAGACTTTCTAATCTTCTTATCTTTGAAAATAGCGATTCTAGTTGAATATATTACCATCTTTGAGTGATACAAGAATGAATTGAGATTTTTTTTCTTTGAGATTCATGTCCTTGACATAAACAACATAATTATAATAGAAAAAACAAAAGTAAGAGAATTAATATACCAACTTGATAAGGAAATAGCAATTTGACAAGAAAAATTACAACGTGACAATCAACACACCATCTTAACATCAAAAATAACAACATTACTTCAACTTGGATATCATTAATTTTATAGTAAATCAAGACACGACCTTCTTTATGAAAAAAAATAGAAATATTTTTCTAATGAAAAAAACACAATGGCTAGATAAAAAAATCAATATACCTCCTTGATACTAAAAACATCACCATTCTTAAATTTTTACTTAAATAACTAAAGAATTTTAAATAAATTTTATATAAATCTAAAAAATCTTTTGTAATATTTTTATAATGCTAATATCAAATCAAAGTTATTTTTTTCTTCATTGGTGATATTTTGTAGTAATAAAATCAATTTAAATTGACTAAAAATCTTATTTTCTACATAAATAATTAAAAAGATATGATGTTCTTTTTTATGCTTCTCCTAACTATTAACTAACATTTATAGGTTTTTAATAAATAACATATATAAATATAAGGCCAATATAGACATTAGTTTCAAGAAATAAATAATAATATTCAACAATAAAAAAAATACTAAATCAATTAAGATAATTACTTCTTAGACTTATTAAGACTTTATTTTAATGATTTTTTCATTAAATAATTATTATAACTTATAAATCCTTCTAAATTCTAAAAAATATTTTAAAAAATAATAATAATAATTCTAATATTTTTTATTTAAATAAATTAAATATATACTTTTAATAATTCTACTAATTAAGATGCATTGGTTGAACTTACAACAAGTAAGATTAAATAAAGTGGTAAGGATTTATATTACATGGTTAAGATATCATCTAGCCTATAATAAAAGAGATCCAAACTACTCCATTAAAAGACTATATTATATTTTATACTTTTAAATTTTCTATTAATGCATCCATAATTGGTTAGATGAATATAAACTACTTAAAACTAAGGACTACTTGAATGTCCTAAATAAACCTTGAATATTGAGATTTTAATTACTTTTATGGACTAAACTTATACAATTAATATCAATTACATGTGATTTGAAAAGAAACCATTTGAAAAGAAACCAACTAATAGGCCATTATAAGTGCTCATATAAAGCAAATAAAATTTGTAAGTTAGAATAGTTCATGAAGTGTTATGATAAGTGATGTAAACATTAAAAATGTAGTCTAACCTATCTTTGTATTATCAAGTCTCAATTTGATGTGCAATATTAGTTGCATGATGAAAATATGTTAATGGTAATCTGTTGATAAAAATTACTTAGTATTTAAATTTATTAATATTATCACTTATTTTATTATCCATGAAAAATTATAGATTACTCTAAATATGTTAAAACAATTTAAAAAAATGGACAAAGACATTTTAAATAAGTGTTATTTAATATTTTAGATTTTGATACTGTGAGAATAACTTTCACAAGCAAGGGGCTTGCAAAACGTTTCATTCAAGAGCATTTACTACCTCATGAGTGGATGAGTGATAGTGGGGCTTATTAGCACTGAGCGATCCATCGCGTCATGAGCAGCGCCGGCGTGCAGAAGGGCATCATTCAAGCCCCTCTCTGACGGGACAGGCTCACCGGATCGTGGATTGTCGGCGCACGAGGTGGCGCTCAATGTCATGTCCGATTGTGACCCGCCGTGATGGGCACTCGCGGACAGGAATTTTCACATCCTGCCCCTTCTCCCGCAGCCGAAAATATGAGACAAGTGTGCTCTACATTGGGGAGCTTATTGGCTTGTGCTGCGTTTGGAGTTTGTCTTGTTTTGCACGTTTTGTGAGAATCGGAATTTGGTGTTGAGAGCGTAACAGAGAGGAAATTCACGCTGCGGTTGCTGAAAAAGACTTGCGGCGGAGGAACTAAGAGTATGAACACTCGGCTACTGTACTCTCTGCGTCTACTTGAACTGCTTGCTTCACCTGCATGAGAAGGTTTTGATTCCAGTCCCCTAAGATAGTTTGCTTTATCAAACCAGGGTTTCTGAGTTGCGTGCAGGGCTGTTGTCATCTCGTGGCAGCCATGCTTTGGGACGAGTCCGATTCCGACGGTGATGACCACAGCGACTCCGATAGCGAAGATACGGAGTTGTATGAGGAAATTGTATGGGAAGGACTTCGAAACAAGACGATTGTTGTGAAGAATGGTGACAACACGTACAGGTGCCCGCTTTCTCCTGGCAGGAAAAAACAGAGCTACAAGTACCGGGAACTCCTCGCTCATGCCACAGGCGTAGCGACAGGCAAGAAAGGGCCGGTGAAAGCTGGCGGTCATCGAGCTGTAATGAAATACCTGCTCGCAGAATTGGGTGATAGGCCCATGATTCCACAAGCAGAAAGAATCTTGTACCTGGATCAAGTTGTTCCGAAACGAAAGGGCAGGGCAACTAGACTCCTTGCTCCGTGGATGGGAATTCTTGTCAACATTGACAACAGCAGAACCAACGAGAATGGGTTTAGACTAGCACCTGGGCCAGCCGAAATCAAGGAAAAATTCAAGGTGGCGAACGCAATCCAACCGAGCTTGTGTGTTTGAGGGGTTTTGTTGGTTTCCGTTATCTGGGGCACAATTAACTTTCACCTGTTCTGGGAATGTCGTGTGGTAAATCGGGTTAGGAGTACAAGCCCGAGAGGGTGGATGTCTTTCATGACTTCCGGGGGCACCAGGGGACGGCGCTTCTGACGTTCCGGAGCGACATTCGTGGTCTGGAGGATGCCCAAGCATTTGAACACAGCTTCGCTGCCACTAATCGTGGACGAAAAGCGTGGTGGGAAGAAGCGCGCTCCGCGAATCGGGATTTGTATGGTTGGCAAGCAGCTGAAAAGGTGAGGATTATTCTTGATTCCAGGTTTGATTATTAGGCTCAAGCCATCATAAAGAATTCAACGAATAAATGAATTAGTAAAGTGCAGTATGGGAACCACCAGGTTCGATTGCTGATCGCTGGGCGGGATGTGCACGGTCCTTGCGCAGGATTTGGAATCCAATTTGGGTCGCTTGGCGAAGCATATCAAGAATTACTGCGACGTGAAGACTGTCAAAGATATGGTACAAGAAAATGAGAGATTGAACAAGCAGATTGTCGAGGATTTGGTGAAGATCGTCGACAAAAAGAACGATATGGTGGCAGCTTCGCACACCCAGTTCGTGACGCTGCAGAATATGGTAGCTGACGTCGAAGCTTTGCGTTTGAAGGCCGAGGAGGAGAAGAGGAACATGGAAGCACAGCACAAACGAGGTAGTTGGCAATCAATTTGTGTTATATCTCAGATTAGTCTGCATATTACTTCAAGAACGGAATGATCGTCCTGAGATTTACTGCAGATCTGGAAGAAATGATCTTAAAAGCGCATAAAAAGGAAGCAGCCCACAATGAGATAGTCATGTCACGCCAAGTGGCGCTCACAAACAAGTTGCGGACGCTTGAGAGCCGCTGCGAGCAGATGAGAGATACCGAGACGAAACTGAGGCTCAGCAAAGAAGCTGTGCAACTTCAATTCGAGAAGGAAATGGAAAATGTAAAATCGCATCTATCCTTGACGGTTTGATGGTAACAGCGGTTAGAGGATTAAAAACATCTAACCGAAGTTGCATTGTCTTCACAGTCAGGATAGGATTAACAGTGAACTTTGGCTCTGCAAGCTGGTCTTTAAATCATGAAGATTCATTCGGCAGGCACAAAGACTGCTAAAGGAGGCCAGCAAGAAGGCGGAATTGCATGCAGCAATGCGGTGCAAGCAAACGGTGGAACAGAAAGAGCTAATCCAAAAACACGAGGTTTTCTATCCTAGATCAGATTATTTTTAAAGATAAATTCTATATTATTTGTAAATTTGACAAAAATTGAATGGTTGGATCAAGAAATATGAATTTCTTAAATTTAAAAAGAAGAATTCTTTTGTGGAAAAAATATATTTTAAAGGGATTTTATTATAATTTAAGCATTTTATACAAAATAAAGGGATTTTTTGGAAGTCAAGACTTTACATATATTTTGAAGATAGATATATGAAGCTATAGTTTAAATTTGATATAAAGATGAATTTTTGAGAAGAGATTATGGATTTTCTTTGGAATTATTGAAAATCTAACTTACCAACAAATGGTTAGTTATGATTTGGTATAATCAAGAATGTTAGAGAATTTCTAGATATTTTAGAAAGCCTTATGTACAAACCTTCTTAAATGTATAAGGTTTTATTAGTACAATATCTTTTTGATATTGTAGTATTTATTTATCTTCTACCTAAAAGGATAAATAACTTATTGAAGTTTGATAAATAAGTTAAAACTAAAGTCGCTACACCTAGGTATCTAGTGTATTCCCAGATAGAAAATCACGCAATATACTAACGTGGAAGGTAGGATGGATCTTCATTGCCTCTGATAGATATAACTAATAAGCAACTAGATTGATTTGTCCACTAATAAGAAAAGGTCCAAACATGCGGTAGTCCAACTTATCACAAGGATGAATAGTCTTGATATTATGACAAAGCAACCATACCTTGTCATCTACATTAAATTGTGGTTGTTCCTTTTGATAGGCATTTGCGTTGATCTTTTGTTGTTCTTGAGCTTCTTGTAATTGCACCTTCATTGTTACATGTAGCTCTAACAAAAAAATTTCTAAACCTTTTGTTGTATGATTATCAACTTTTAAAAAGTCAAAAGTATCAAGTCGTAGATGGTAACCATAATTGGCAAAGAAAGGTGTTTGTTGTATAGAAGAATGCATCATATTATTTTAAGTAAACTCTGTCAATAGCAAGATGGTTATCCAATTGTCTTATTGATAATTGATGGTACATCTTAAGTATTGCTCCAAAACTTGATTTATGCGCTTTATTTTTCCATCAATTTGAAGATAAAAGGCCAAAGAAAGCTTTATATCTACCTTTAAAATCTTAAAAAGAGTTCTTCAAAATCTTGATACAAATTGAGTCCCCCCATCTAATATAATATCTTTCAACAATCCATAATATCAATAGATATTGTCAAGAAAAAGCTTGGCAATTTCTTTACTTGTGATAGATTTTGTATATGGTACAAAATGTGCCATTTCAATAAAATGATCTATATTACAAATATAAAATCATATAATCCTAAGATTGAAAGATCTATAATAAAATCCATAGAAATAGAAGACCATGGTTATTTTGGAATAGGTAATGGTTGAAGAAGTTTATAAGGTCGATGTCGAGGAATGTTTGACTCTAAACAAATGTCACATGATTGAACAAAGTCTTTTACAATCTTCCACATTTGAAGCTATTAAAAATCTCTAGATATTAGCTCTATAGTCTTATTGTATCCAAAATGTCTAATTGTTCAAAAGTTGTCACATGCTTGAAAAATACATAAATGTGCTTCTCTTTTTGGCACATATATATGTCCTTCAAAATAAAGTAAGTTGTTCTTGAACTCAAAATTAGAAGTATCATAAGACTTAGAAGTAGTATTCTTGATATCATGAATAAGAAGATTAAAAGACATACTTGATTGAATTTTTTTGAAAAAAGTTGAATCAACAATCAATGTTGATTTCATTGCTCGAAGATGAAATTATTTTGGCTTCAATAAAATTGTCCTTTGTTGATCAAAAGCTGCATTTCCTTCTTTAGGTGCAAGATAAGAATGTCTAGAAAGGACATCAAACAAACCTTGTTATTTTCTTGGCTGATAAGTGATATTAAACTTAAATCTTGACAAAGACATATTCCAACGAGCCTAGTAATGATTCAAAATATGAACAAACACGAAATACTCAAGGTTCTTATGATCTATATATACAATGACTAGACTTGAAGCGCCTTTTAAATAATGATGCCATTTTTGAAAAGAATCTATGATTATAAGAAGTTTCTTATTGTGGATCTCATAATTAATCTCAGTTGTTGAAAATTTTCTTGAATAAAAAGGTACTGAATGAAGTTTATCATCTTGTCATATTTATGATAATATGGCATCCAAAGCAAAGTCTAATGCATTTGTTTCTATTAAAAATGCCTTAGAAAAGTCAATGTAATATAAGATTGGTACAAAAACAAAGGTTGTCTTTAAAACTTCAAATATTGATTTCACTTCTTGATTCCATTGAAGTTTGTCTTTACAAGTCAAACATGTAAGTGGAATGGCAATTCGAGAGAAGTCTTTGATGAAGATCTAGTAATAATTAGCAAATCCCAAAAAATATTGAGCATCTCAAATTATTTTTGAGATCTTTCAATCCATAATTATTTGAACTTTTTTAGGATCCATCATAAATCCATCATTTGAAATGATGTAACCTAAAAAGTTAACTTGAATAGTATGAAATATACACTTTTTTAACTTGGCATAGAGTCCTACATCTCTTAATTTTTGTAAGACATGAAAAACATGAAATTCATATTCTTCTCTGTTCTTTGAATAGATCAAGATTTTGTCTAAATAATAGACAACAAAATCGTTGTTGTATTGTAATTACTTATAGTATGTAAAAATTAGTTAGAATATATAATATGTTCATAAGTCTTGGTGTATGTTAGAATGGTTAATAGATTAATTTAAAGAGAGTGGATATAAAAAAACTTTATTTTGAGTTTTATCTATTTTGATTATAGCATTTAAAAAAATTATAGGACCTAAATATTTAGTATGAAGCCTTGAGAGGAGATTAGAGCCTAAAGAAGAAAATCTTAACTAGTAGGAGGCTTATTGGGAGTGATGAAAGCAAAGCATGGTTGGATGAAGGCAAGAAATGGAGATCTTCATTACTATTAGTTGAAGGCCATGTCCAATGGGCTTCAAGGAGGCTGCCCGAGGCCTTATTAGGGATTAGGATTTTTCTTTCGAAGTCATTCAAGCTTAAGAGGCTAGAACCATCAAGTTTAGATTTTTGGATACAAATTGGGTACAAATTTTGTGTGATTTGGATTTTTTATGAAGGAGTTATTGGCGCTCAAATTTAAGGTGTCAATTTTGTACCTACTGTCACTCTTTCGGGCATTCCATAGGTTTACGGAGAGCAAAAAAAGATCGGAGACTAGGCTTAAAGAGAGCACTTTTTTGACCACACTTTTTATATTTTGTTTGATGAATTTGGAATTCTGATGAAGAAGTTATAGAGGGTTGAAGTCATTGCATCCAAATCAAAGGCAGTAAGTAAGTGATTCTATTCATAGTAATGGTTAGAGCCATATCTTGAGTTTCTAGACGAATTTTGGGCTCAAAACTTTTGGAGATGGTAGATAATTGTATTAAGAAACTATGCATATAAATTTTTTGATATTTGAGTATTTAATTTGTGAGATATGAAGGAAATTATACATGGATATATAAAAACTAGGGTTTGAAGCTATTATTAGGATTTTGGTGATATCTTAAGATCCGCAAAGAATTTATGGTTGAAATATATTGTGGTAGTTGTTAAAAATATATCAGTACTTCTTGTAAAAGTTTTATAAGTTTGGACGGTCAGATCAAGAGATATAAGATATTGAAGTTTGAAAATAATACTCCATAAGGATATATAAGGATTTAGAGTTTTTTTATCATATTTTGGATATTTTTGGAAACCTAAGACTTATAGATTTGGTATAATAGCACCTAAAAGTATTATATGTATATATAAAAACTTGGTCTTTCTTATCTCGAGACTTGATTGAGCAATTAGTAGCAGTCAGGAGTCCAATGCTTTGTTGAGGCAAACTCTCTCTACTCCGACATCATCCATAAACTCTTAAAAAACACCATTCATAAGATGTTGAAAAGCTATTGATGTATTTTTAAGTCCAAAAAGCATGACATTATATTCAAAATATCCATATTTGGTTCAAAATGAAGTCTTCTATTCATCTCTTTCTTTAATGTGTACTAAATTATATGCTCCTTATAGATCTATTTTTATATAGATCTTAACTTGATTCAAATAATTAAGAAGTTGAGATATTAAAGGTAGTGGATACCTATTCTTGATGGTGATCTTGTTGAGTCCTTGATAATCAATACATATCTGTAATGATCTATCTATTTTCTTTACAAATAGAATTAGACCTCCTACTAGAGTTTTGGAATGGTGTATGAAGTTCTTACCTAGATTATCTTCAATATACTCCTTGAATTTGATCAACTCATTTTGTGATAAATTATAGATTGGTCCAAATGGCAGTTGTACTCCTTTTTGAAGGTCAATTGAGCAGTCATAGAGACCATGTTCTAGAAGAGTATCTGCATTCTTTTTCTCAAATACATCTTAAAAATCTTAATATTGGCTTGGAATACCACTTGAAGTCTTTACACCATTAGAAATAGCTGTGGCATAAATGACACAAGATAATCCTTCTTTTGTAGCATTGTCATGTTGTAACATGAGTATACCATGAAAATATAAAGAAAAGAGAATTTTATTAATATTCAGTTACCTCGAATATTGGGAGCAACGACCAACTCCAGTGCAAATACTAAGTGGTCAGGTTTAGTCACCCCGTTACAGTCAACTGGGGCATACTGAAATGCTCCATTCGATTCCAATAACGGGAGTCAGCAGGAAGGAAAAGGACCAATTCACGCGACAAGTGAGCCTGGTTCGAAGAGCCAATTGGATCCAATTTCGAGAATCCAATCCGGGTCCTCTTACTCAATATGAGACCTGAATTGGTCGGACAACCCAATGTAGTCTAATTACGGAAAAATCTGGGTCTTACTACTGGACTCTTATCCAATATGAGACCTGCATTGGTCGGACAACCCAATGCAGTCTAATTACAGGAACATCCAGGTTACTACAGACATCTTACCCAATATGAGACCTGTATTGGTCGGACAACCCAATGCAGTCTAATTACGGGAAAATCCAGGTCTTACTACGGGCCTCAC